TTTGTTTGGAAAGTAAATAGGATTAAAATATGTTATTAAAAAATAAAATAAGATAAAATGATTAATAAAATAAAATATCACATTTAATTTATAATTATTTTATTTTTTCACTTATAACCATCAAATCAAGACATTGTTTGGCATGTAGTACATATTATTTTAGCATATTATGGTGGTGTTTGGCAAGTGATTTTGGGGCTAAAATAATCACAAAAGACAAAATAGGTTATTTTAGTCACAACAAACAAAACATCACATCCAACCCATAATCATTACACTCTTCTCTCACAAAAAAATTTAAAAAAGCCAAAAAGTCCTTCTGAAACCAAGCTTTTTAGCCCATGCTAAAATAGTCAAAAAAGTCAAAAAGTCAAAAAGTCAACCCACTTTCCAAACTAACCCTATCTTATTTGACTCACAATTATCTCATTTTTCGTCATATCACATCTCTACCATATTATTTCAAATTCAATCCATATTTCACATTTTTTTGGTAAAAAGTCAAAAAGTATACTAATTTAACACCCTCCAACTAGGGATGTAAATTTGGCCTGGCCTATGTTGGGCAACGTGAACTCTCACCAAAATTTGGACCTGGTCAAGCAGGCCCACGGGCTAGAAATTAGGCCCAGGAGATATTCGGGCATTAGGCGAGTTGTGCCAGCAAGGCTAGGCCTGAACTTAGGCTTGAACTTGAACTTGAATATTTTTTTAAAAAAATTTTTTTTATCAAAATTTTATTTTTTTTAGCTAAAAATGACACTGAGCCTTGAGTAGGGTAATGGGCCAGGCCACGGGCCATGCCTCAAAGGGCCTAGGGCCCGAGTGGGCTCAGGCCTAACCAGACAGGGCGAGCTTTTCGGCTGTTCACAGAGCCACAGGCTATTTTTTACACTGCTACCTCCAATTACAAAAAAAAAAAAAACTAACGAAGTTTCCAAACATAACTATTTAACCAGTATAAAATAGTCACCAAAAAAAAAAAAAAAGGCCAATTAACTAACTAAAATAATTAACTTCTCAAACAAGGTCGGTCTAGTTTAGCAATATGAGATTTTAGCCTAAAAGTAAAAAAATCACAAAAAAATTTAAAATTAAAAAATCAATTACTAAAAAGTAAATTCAGTTCTAAGCCTCCGTTTGGAAGTGGGTTGGTTTTTTAGCTTTTTTGGCTATTTTAGCCTGGACTAAAATATTTGGTTTGGGAAGGACTTTTTAGCTTTTTGACTTTTTTGAATTTTTTTGTGAGAGAAGAATGTAATGATTATGGGTTGGATGTGATATTTTGTTTTTTGTGACTAAAATAGCCTATTTTGTCTTTTGTGGCTAAAATAGCCAAAAAAGCCTTGTTTAGCTCTTGCCAAACGAAAATACTTTTTACACAAATTTTTGTAAAAAATTAAGGTAAATGCTAACAAGTGCTCATTATGCATTATTTAATATTATGAAATATGTATAAAGTGTCTTGAAATATATTGATTTTAGTAAAAAGTGTCTTGTGTTTTTAATTTTTTTTTTCTGTCATTTACATGTACACTAGAGGCACTTGTTAAAGCATCTCCAATGGTACATCAAATTTGAATAAAAATTTCATTTAATATCAAGTATTCCAATTGAGATTTTTGAACCTTCATCAAAACACTGGTTGACTGGGCAGATGTCTGGCCGATTGACCTGCCAGTATAAATTTTTCACAAATTTTTGCCTTTAGGTGGTCATCAAGGGAGTCGACTGGCCAATGTAATTTTTTCACAAAATTTTACCTTGAGGTGGTCATCTGGGGGAACATCCTGTAGTGAAAATCAAACGGCTATGAATAGTGATTTGATGAATGGTTTTCAGTTTGATGAAAGAAAAGTGAAATCCTGAATTTGATACCTATTTGATGAAACTGTTGAAGTAGAAAAAAGAGTCATTTTTCATCAAATTAAAATTTGATAAAAGGTTTGAATAACCATTGAGGATGGTCTTATAAAAAAATCATCATCATCATATATATATATATATATATTCTTATATTTTAATTAAAAAATCAAAAAATTACTTAAAAAAACATATTCCAAAATTGAGTCTAAAATAATTAAAAAACCAACTAAAAAAAGTCAATTACCAAAGGATAACTAACGCTTTATAAATATTAATAGTAATTAAAATCATAAATTTTTTCATGTATAATTTTTTTTGATACAACTATAAAAAAAAAAATCTTAGGATTTGATCCATTTAATAAAATAAATTATGAGTTTATTTTAAATTCTAATTTTTTTTTATTGGTTTTCAATTTAAACATTTTTGTTAAGGAAATAGACAATAAAAAGTATTTTAGTTACTAAATTATGTAGATATACATAAAATGCCTAAAATACTATTTTCATTGAGATTAATAATTAAAATACTATTTTTTTTTCAATTTTACTTAACAAAAATAGATAAATAAATTATATTGAAAATAAATCATAAAAAATTAAAAAAATATTTTATTATAAAAATAAAAAAAATTAATTTTATAATTCCCCCTTACTTTTTTGAATTGGGTAAATTACACTGGCATCTCCTGAGATTTATATTTAATATAGATTTTTCTGACATTTAAAAAATTACACTTACCCCCTGTCAGATTAAAATGAAATATTTGCCTCTTAATCTTTATATATATAAAATAATATAGATATTTTGTTCATATCATTTCAAGGAAAATAACAATCATCTTCTTTGGTTTAACTCATACAAAAAATTGATTTTTTTTAATTTTTCGTATTTTTTATTTTTACTGGATTTTTTTTTAATATTTTCAACATTTTTTTTTAGATACTCCTAATCTAGATATACTTAATATGTATAATATTTTGTGATTTTTTTTTAAATTCACCAAATACAAAAATATAAAATTCAATACATTATCTTATTTTGTTGTATTCAATGAATTTTTTAAAATTTTTTTTTTTGTATAAATTTTATATTTTTAAATATAGCTAAATTAAATTGATCTAATCTAGATATAATGGTGGAAATAAAAATAAAGATCATATTTATATATAAAAATTTATACAAAAAATATCATAAAAATATTGTGATAGTGATATTGTTATAAATATAAATCATATTTATAATTGTTTTGTTTTAAAGTGAAAGGTCTCTATTAAGATATATCATTGTGTTTTAAAATTTATGTTTGTATATCATCAGTAAATAAAAATATGTTCAAGTAAGATTTAATAATGGAAAGCTGTAAAATATAGTAATGATGATAGGAATAAGAAATAGTAGGAAAAAAAGGGTAAGATGATCATTTATAAAATTTTAAGACATAATATCAACAATTCAAGAATAATTTGTAATGAGATTGTATTGCAGGGACGAGAATGAAATTTTTTAAATGTGAAGGAAAAAATCTATATTAAACAAAAGTTTAGGGGTGTCAATGTAATTTACCCTTTTTGAATTTACACTTGGGCGTAATTGGCGCTTTTAGTATATATCCATTCACTAAGGATCCTCTATAGTGTTTTTTTCTTAAATTTTTTTAAAGTGGTGTATTATGTAGTTGAGATTTAATGCTAAAAAATTAATATGACTTGTCATTAAATGTCAACTACGCAATCTAAAAAATTTTAAGAAAAAAAAAAAAATTCTAAACATCCTTGCTCATATCCATTTCTCTCTCTACAGGAGCTCACGTAAGCACATGCCCTTTTGGCCTTTTTCCTCTCATTCGCGTGCCGTCCTCTTCCTCCATTGTCAGCTCTCTCTCTCTCTCTCTCTCTCTCTCTCTAGCCCTGTTCTTTTCTAACCCTCTGTAGTTCCTAGCCACCCTGCTTCAATTTTTATAGAGAAATCAAACAGCAAATGCGACCAAGGAGAAGTTTGGTTTCTTGAAAGAGCACAACTGTAAGCTCTTCCTCTGTTTCTCCCCCATTTCGTCCCTTTTCTTCTCCTCCATTGTTCAACAACCAAGTAATGCAATGCAATATATGTACACACCCACATAAACACATGTATTCATTATCTATTCCATTTCTGTTATATGGGTTTGTCTCTGTTCTGCTAAAAAAATGTTCTTTAGGATTATTTATTTTTGGGTTTACAAGAAAAGTTTGAGCTTGATGTGCAAATTTGAGTATTGAAGACAAATTAGACTCACCTGTCTTGGTTTTAAATTTAAGTTGTTGTATGGAAACCCAAAAAATTTCAGGTTTCTTGATGCAAATTTTGCTCATTATTTTCTTATTGATCTGTAATATGTGCTGATAAACTTATTTCTGAGTTTGTAAGTTTTGGGTTAAATCACATCCAAGTTTTGATTCAAGAGTTGTTTGCTATTTAACTGCTTCTTTAAGTGATAATTTGGTGGTGAACTTGCTTCAAAGTGTAGGTGATACATTGGAAACCAAGGGGATCCCAAAATTTATCTTAAAAATTTGGGTCCTCAATAATTTAAAAGCCTATAGTTTATAGATTATTGTTGACTATGCCAGTTACAGCAGCTGGCTAAGGAAGAAGAAAAAATTCAAAATTGAAGATAATCAAATCTTATGTTTAGTCGATCATATTACAAGAAAGATTAAATAAATTAGTTATGTTATCTATTAAAGAGGATGTGGTGGATAGGTTAGGTAATGCATGCTCAATTTGCAATTTTGAAATCAACAATGAGAGAAAAATAATATTTAATTGATATTTTGTTGCAGTTGGTTAAGTTTTTATTTGGTATTAGAATTTTAAATTTTACTTCTCGTCATAAATTGGATTTTGTTAAAATATGAAGTAAGAAGACTACCGTTTTTATCTTTTTTGAGTTCTTTTAATTTCTTAATCTATGTAAGTAAATCTTATACATAATTTTTGTGATTATAAATGCAAATTTTATGTGGTTGGGTACTAGCCGCAAAAATAATAATAATAATAATAATAATAATAATAATAATAATAAATAAATAAATAAAAATACTAACAATTTTAGCCACATTTCTTTGAAATTATGTATGGAGGCTCCATTATTGGAGTTCGCCTGGGGTTCATATAAAGTCAGGGCCGGACGTGGAAAGCCTAGGACCGTATTGATAGATTCTGTTGAAATCCTGTTGTGTTGATTAAATTTTGATTTATGCTGTGATTTCAAATTTAGCAACAAGGAAAATATTTTCAGCAATACTAGGTATCATGAAACAAATTTCATGAAAATGATCATGAAAGATTTGTGACCTTTGGATTACATTTAGAATAAAGCACTACACACTAATTAAGGTAAATTAAGGGTCATAAATCTTTCATAATCATTTTCATAAAAAAAATTTCATGATCCCAAACATTTCTTAAATATTTTTGATGATTTGTTTGTAAGTACTGGATGATGTTACCTTACATGATGTAATGTCTGTTGCTGTCTCGCACACACCAATTTGTACATTGCTGGACAGAACTAAGTTGTTGTATTATTATGTTGAGCTGGTACCAAGGCTCACCTCCTTGATTGGTTCTTCCAAAGTGATGGACCCCGAGTAGAAGAGTAGAAGAGGAGGTGATGTTCACACACCATTATGGTGGGTGAACAAAATTGGCCTCGCTTTCTACTGTTTCGGTACAGTGTTCTTCTTGTATGATTATTGCTGTACCTTCAGTTGTGGTACTGATTATTGAGTTCCTTTCTTGTTAAAGAAAGCTAAGCATCATCTTTTAATCAGCTAGTTCAATCCGAAGGTCTATTGTCAAACCTGGCTGCTTGTCCAATATGTGGCAAAGAGGGCAGTGAAAGCAATAATTCATTTGATGATGGTGTGTTGCCTGTCTTTTGATATGTATGATCCTTTAAAATAGTTCCAAGGAATCGGAGATCTCCACTAAGTTAATTGCCTGTTGAAATTCATCATTGTCCCATCAATGGACTGGTATAGCTTCTTTCAATTTTCTCCCGATCATTTCTTTCATGGTTCTATAATCTGTGTGTAATTTGGATAGGAAAAATACTATTTTCGATATCATTAGAAATCTAGCATTTTCACCCCATTAGTTGGGCCGGTTCAATGGCTCTGTATGAATTAGCAGTTTTTGATCCCTCTGACCTTGTTCTTGGTCCAATAACAAGTCTTGTCGATAGTGTGAGCTGCTTGTGCTGTCATTAATTTAACTTGTTATAATACGAGTTTTGTTTCATCATACTGCTATTAAATCTTCAATCCTAAATTGCTGAAGCAGTGATGTTTTGATTTCGATTTTTGTATCAGATACATTATGAAGAGTTGGAAGCAATGGGAAGTGGTGTTTACACCTGGAAATGAAGGAGAGGCAGCGCTGGCGACCTGAAGAGGATGCTCTGTTGCATGCATACGTGAAACAGTATGGACCAAGGGAGTGGAACCTCATATCACAGCGCATGAACACAACCCTCGACAGGGATGCGAAATCCTGCTTGGAAAGGTGGAAGAACTATCTCAAACCTGGCATAAAAAAGGGATCCCTAACCGAAGAAGAGCAGCGCCTTGTCATCCGTCTTCAGGCCAACCACGGCAACAAATGGAAAAAAATTGCAGCTGAAGTCCCCGGCCGAACCGCCAAGCGACTTGGGAAGTGGTGGGAAGTTTTTAAGGAGAAGCAACAGAGAGAACAGAAGGAGAATAACAAGGTCATAGACCTGGTTGAGGACGGCAAGTACGACCTGATTCTCGAGACCTTTGCTGAGAAACTGGTGAAAGAGCGCCCTGGCCCAACATTTCTCATGGCGACTTCCAATGGGGGTGCACCACCAAATTTACTTCCTCCATGGCTTTCTAATTCTAATGCCCCTTCCAATGTTAGGCCACCGTCCCCTTCTGTAACACTCTCTCTCTCACCCGCGACAGTTCCTCCCTCGCCAGCGATTCCTTGGCTGCAGCCCGATAGGGGACCCAACAATGGCGCTCATGTTGTGGGAACTTTACCACCTCGTGGTGGAGAGAACATGCTGATTTCTGACCTAACAGAATGCTGCAAAGATTTGGAAGAAGGGCATCGAGCTTTGGCAGCGCATAAAAAGGAAGCGGCGTGGAGGTTGAAAAGAGTGGAGCTGCAGCTGGAATCAGAGAAGGCAAGTCGGAGGAGGGAGAAAACGGAGGAAATTGAGTCGAAGGTGAGGGCTCTCAAAGAAGAACAGAAGGCTGCACTGGACAGGATTGAAGCTGAATACAGAGAACAGTTAGCAGGACTGAGAAGGGATGCAGAAGCCAAGGAGCAGAAATTAGCCGAGCAGTGGGCTGCGAAACACCTCCGGCTTACCAAGTTTCTCGAGCAGATGGGTTGCTGGCCAAGGCTTGCCGAGCATAATGGTCGGTGAGGAGATTTGCCATTTATAAAATGGTTATCAAAATCACAATCCGGATCATATAATAAATTGCAAAAATGATCTAAATTGTTGTAGAATCGGTGTTATAGCAAGATCACAAGTAGGATTGTGTGGGATCGTAGGAATTGTAGTAGGATCACTTGGGTCGCGATTTTTTAAACGTAGAATCTTATGAATCTCAATCCAATCCACAACTTTCTCACCGATCCTATGTCAGATCCTGATTTTATTAACCATGATTCATGGTAGGCATGGTTGTATCAGGACTGGGCTTTTGCACTGCCCTTGTGTTTTTCTCAATCTTGCAATTTTTATTTTACTAATATAAGAACATTTTTGTGTTTGTAGAAATCTCACTTTGAATGCTAGACAATGCTTGATTCGTATTTAAATTGTATGCATTTAAGGTTTCCGAACCTACAAGCCAACCTGGGGAGGATGTCAAGAACCTTACCCCTCATCCCTCAGGACCTATAGTCACGCTATTACCTTACCAACTTATCAAACCCTTGAAGTCAAATCACTAATTTCGTAACCTATTTTAATTTGACATTGTGGTGAAACCTAAAAGTGTTTTGGGAGGGCCATCCATTTTGCAATTTACCTACCATAAAACCAAAACACTACAACTTAATGTAACAAATTGCAAAATTTGATATTGATAATTAGATAAAAGGCAGTTCAATTAGGGCAATTTTGAAGTCAGAAAAACTGTGACAATGCTTCAAAAGAATTTTGGACTATACACTTCATATAGTAATATAAATATATGTATGTGTGTCAATGGCAGACAGAGGGGATTCCGATGTACACACCTTATATATATATATGTATATTACACTCTTCAAGTATAGAGAGTAGCAGAATACAAGTATAAAAAAAAATGCAAGTGATGAATGTAAAATGGTGATGCTAGATGTAAAATTAGGTCTATATCAATAAGAGGAAGACTATCTACTTAGTTTAAAAACACACAATACCATAAGTTTCAATGTTGACCCGACGACGACGACAACAACAATAACAAGCAGTAAATGAGTCCAGTTCATTGGGTAAAACTCCACGGTGTTTTGGAGAGAGATCTCTAAAATTCATTAAAACATACTGGGCTTGTTTGGTTTGTTTTTGGGAGAGTAGTTTTTGAAAATTGTTTTGGAGAGAGAGTTTAGAAATTTTTTTAGTTTGTTTGGTTGTGTGTTTTGAAAGTAGTTTTGGAGTTTGGGAGTTTGTAATGATTTGATATTTTATTATAATTGAGTAGATGTGTGTGAGAGAAAAAGTGATTGAGAAGGAGAGAGGAGAGATAAAAAGTGATTGATTGATAGGTAAGAGAGAGAAAGTGATTTTGAAAATTATTTTGAAAAATTTACAAACTGTACTAGCAAGAAATAATCTTCTCGTATAATCCTATTGATCAAGTCCGCGTTCCTCCAAACGTCGTCGCTTTACTCCCTGAAAACACAAACGTGAGCTAGCCGACGAGTGTGTGCCGGATACCTCTCCGATGCCTAAGTCAGCAAAATAGACAAAAGCTCTGTGTATTCGAGAATCAAAGTTGTGTTACTTCTCCATAGGTGATGTTGTGAGCTTTTATAGGTTCCGTGTGACACAATCCAAGTAGGACTCTTACTCCTCCATATAGAGTCCTCCTAGGAATCACATTCCTGAAAGATAATGCTTATTCTTCAACACTTCCCTCACTGCTTAAACCAAGTGAGATGGTTCTACCACGGTTGAATGTCAATATGACCGAGATAACATGGCCATGCTAAAGCCGCAGACTAGACCGAGCTCCTACTTAGCTCGGTTCTTCTTTTTACTGCGTGTACCTCGGTTTGACATATTTCAACTGTGTTGTCTGAGACCGGACTAATCACATCGAGCTTGGACCGAGCTAACCAATAACAAGGTTCTGAGGAAAGCTCAACATACTTCAGCCCAATATAGTACAACCGAGCTAATTGTCACCGCACCGACAGTGGTGACCGAGCTAACCACCAAGCTCTTTTGGCCCGGGCTATCTGCAAGGCTCCTCTGGACCGGACTAATTACAAGGCCCTTTTACTCAGCCCTTCTTACCGTGGCCCATAGAATGGCCCTTTACCCAGCTCGGCCCAATTTATATATAAATTACCCTCTCAATTGCCCTTTAATTCCATCTGCGCAGCATGATAAGGATTACTTGTTACCAGCCGAGCTAAAAAACACTTTAGCCTTCCAACTGAGCTAAAAAACTTTAGCCTTCCAACCGAGCTAAATTTACATCGTGCTACCAATCTGTTCGGTCAAAACGTCTCTTCAGTCTCTATAACTGAATTGATTTCCATTCCTTACACACGTGGCAGACCTTTATTGGCCCAATACAGCTGTCATGCCGCCCTCGTACCTCGTGACTTTTGAATAGTCCCGCCAAAAACCAAGGTTTGTACGAAAAGCCCCATTTCTCAGATCACAATACTCTTGTTCACCTTTCCTCTCTCTCTTGCTTGAACCTTCATTTCTCCAAAACACTGTGCCTGAAAAAACTCGTGTTCTTGCTGAGATTGCTTCCATCCTCAATCCCTTCACCTCGAACCTGTATGTAACTCAAATCTGTTTCCTTTCCGTTGATTTCGTTCTTGTTTATATAGTATGCTTAGTTGTATGTTTTTTCAAAACATATGCCATGTTTGCTTCCATGTTTCTGTGAAAAACCATGTAACATAACCACTTGTACTCACGAATAATCTGAAGAACGATTTATTTGATCCAAAATCACACATCAACCGAACTAGGATACTGTTTGTATTAGATGCAAGCCTAGCCACAACCAACAACCGCACTAAAACTTATGCCATACTCGTGGGTTACCAGCCGAGCTAAAAAACACTTTAGCCTTCCAACTGAGCTAAAAAACTTTAGCCTTCCAACCGAGCTAAATTTACATCGTGCTACCAATCTGTTCGGTCAAAACGTCTCTTCAGTCTCTATAACTGAATCGATTTCCATTCCTTACACACGTGGAAGACCTTTATTGGCCCAATACAGCTGTCATGCCGCCCTCGTACCTCGCGACTTTTGAATAGTCCCGCCAAAAACCAAGGTTTGTACGAAAAGCCCCATTTCTCAGATCACAATACTCTTGTTCACCTTCCCTCTCTCTCTTGCTTGAACCTTCATTTCTCCAAAACACTGTGCCTGAAAAAGCTCGTGTTCTTGCTGAGATTGCTTCCATCCTCAATCCCTTCACCTCGAACCTGTATGTAACTCAAATCTGTTTCCTTTCCGTTGATTTCGTTCTTGTTTATATAGTATGCTTAGTTGTATGTTTTTTCAAAACATATGCCATGTTTGCTTCCATGTTTTTGTGAAAAACCATGTAACATAACCACTTGTACTCACGAATAATCTGAAGAACGATTTATTTGATCCAAAATCACACATCAACCGAACTAGGATACTGTTTGTATTAGATGCAAGCCTAGCCACAACCAATAACCGCACTAAAACTTATGCCATACTCGTGGTTTCCATAAGTTAGGGAGCTTTTGTTTCTTTTAATCGAGCTATCGCACCTACTAGATTTGCGCAATACCACGCTAGAAAGCCTCAACCTCCGACTGAGCTAAATCTTGGGGCTAAGCCAGCTCCCTTAGTTCAAACCGAACTAAGAATGCTGCCCCAATGGCTTGACCGGGCTAAAGCACCTTGCGTAAACCGAGCTAAGACTGGATAGCATCCCATATAACTGAGCTAGGACTTTATTTATCTTGCCTATATTTCTCTTAACACGGTCCAATGATCTATGCTTAACACCTTTCTTTTTTACTTTGCAGACTCTGACTAGGTTGCCCAGACACTCCTTTTCACGTCCAACCGAGATACCCATTATCTGTTTGGCGTCGAGCTAATACTCCAGGCTAATTTATATATAGTTTAAATCTTTATGGGTAAATATAGGTTTTTAGTGAACTCACCAGGTGCTATGATCGAGTTCCGAAGGGACTACCATATCCCTGATGATGTTCATCTCACTTTAGCCGAACTAGATACCATACCCTGGGGAAACCCTGGCTTTGTTCCCTTTACACTTCTTTCCATTGTAGAAACCGAACTAAGATTCCCTGTACAGCTCTTTCTATGTGAATTCCTCAGACAAACAAACCTTCGCCTTACCCAACTTTCCACCAATTCTTATTGTATAATAAACGGCATTGCCGAGCTAAACCGCCGGGCTGGCCTTAATCTCGGTCTAGCCGAGCTCTTCCACCAATACACCATAGGATCGGCTGAGGATGGCTGGGTTTACTATTTAAGAGTAAGATGCCGTCGAGAAAAGATAATAAAAAATACCCCGGACAAAGGCGTGAATGATGATGATTTCTTTTGGGTATCTGGGAACTTTGAGGACCAACACGCCCAGATCCCGGGCAACAGAATAAATTGGAACAAGGGTGAAGCCGATAGGATTTCCACGGCTCAATTCCATACTTTTCTTTACTTCAGTTTTCTTATCTTGAACCGTACTAACTGTATTCTCCTTCATGCATATTTGAACTTCCTTAAGTCTTAGTACAGCTACCTAGACTTAAACATACTTCGTGCCGCACTCCGATATCCAAACAGAGGCTGGGTTGAGCTACTGAATTTCGAACCGACCTACCGATATATTAGCCGCAGGAAGACCAGAGTGACCGATTTCCTCCTTGAACCTTTGCCAGAGCCAGATCCATCATTGCCTCAAATCAATCTATCCCACTAACCGTCGAACAAGAAATGGCCAAGAAAAGAACAGTGAGGTCCCTTCTAACCGAAACAAACCAGGCCGAGGTACCACCAACAAGCCAACCACAAGAGACCGTGGTGGCCTTACCAACCGCTCAGCCTTCTTTATCTTGGCCAACCAAGCGCGCCCAGACTTCCACGACCGAGCCGTGCCTCCTCGATGAGGAAGACACCGTTCTCCCACAATCCAGTCCACTAAGCCCACAACCGGAGCGCTCAAACCGAGCTAGCTCCTCCAAGTGGGTACCAAACGTTACCTACAAGAACCGCACTATCACTGACTCCGACTCAGTGGTCGCAGAAAAGGACCATATGCTGGCCTTTAATCTGGCCAAGAGCGTCTGCCTTCCAGCCGATATGGATCACCACGATCATCTTACCGAGCTGAAGGCCATTCGCTCGGCTTCTAAATCAATGGTATTGGTAAGTTCTCATTTTCCTTCTTCTAAATTTCAACATCTTTTTGCTCGGTTTATCTCAAAATGTGTTTCTCTCATTTTGCAGGCTTTGCAGAAGAACCACGTTGTACACAAGCGCGTATTGGAGCTTCGAAAGACCACGAGGGAGGCCATGGCAGAG